TAATAAAAGAGAAAAACTTCCAAGTGGCATAGACTTTTTAGAGGCGCTCTAGGTTTATTATTCAACACTCTGCACTGGAGTCACTTTACTCAAGAGCAACTAATAAAACCGTGAAGTGCATCAACCTAATTACAATTCTTTCAACTTTCCTTTGTGTATCATAGAGTTTTCTGTAAAGTCTATGTGAGGGAGAATTTAACCAATGCTTCATATTGATTAAAAACAGACATTCGTTGGTAGAATTCTGTTAATAAGAGTTTGAATCCACGTGTTAATAGAATAGAATAGAAAAATACTTTATTTATCCCAGTCTGGGAAATTACTGTGGTACAGCAGCAAGAGAAAAACACGAGTCCCAACAGAAAAAGAGCCAAAGTTAAATACTACTTAAAAAATTACAAATAAAAATAGGTGAATAAAATAAAATAAATAAAACAACTGTACAAAATGTGCAAATTGAGAAAACAGTCATTAATCAAGTACTATCTGGAGACCATCTCCTCCAATGTCTTCTGTCTGATCTCATTACCCTTTTGCTGTCTCACAGACATCTTGATCTTCCTTTATTTTATCATTGTTTACATGGAAACCGCCTGCTGTATTGGCGTATTATCTCCTCCCCACCTTCTGACCATGTGTATGAAGTGTTGCATCCAGACCCACTCTCTGTGTCTGTAAGCCCACCGCCTCTCTGTACTGTAGAAAAAAAGAGAGGAAAAAATAAAAATAATTTCATTTTATTCTACAGATTTTCCCTCCCTATGCTGTTCAATTACACATAGTAACAAGTAAAATCAAATGCAAGATAATAACTTTCAAAATGGAAGATATGCTCAACAAAGTGTTTCTTGGGTCATTGTATTTCCATAAATGATTTATAGTTTCAGGAATGTTTGCAGAGTTTATCACCTTAGCTCCGGGCCTGATGGGATTTGTTGTTCCTATGAGACTTGTGTTGTTGTTCAGTGTTGTAGAGGCACAATGCAGCTTCACTCACAGTTGTAAACACATGGTTTAAATGGTTATATGCTCGGTCACTGCTCTCTCCTCCTTATTAGCTAGACGCTTGATTGTCTTTAAGTGGAAAGCTGCTAATCCTCCATCACACCACCACTGGATTAGAGACGTTACGCAGAATGTCAAACTGGAAAAAATCAGATTTACCCTCAATGGCTCCATCAACCAATTCTACAAAACCTGGACTCCTCTGATAACTCATGTGAATAATTTACCTGGTCTGGAGCTCTAGATGTTTACCCCTGCTTTTTGTCAGCCCTCTAGAAAGAACTATTCGGTGCACTTGTCCTCCTTTTTTTAAAATTGTTATTTTTTTCTTGTTGTCTGTGATAAGTCTGTCAGGGTGATTTGGAGTTTGGTTTGTCTTTGGTACTTTCTTGTTGGGATTGTTTTCTCTGGTTAATTCAAGAACAGATAATATGATTGATGTATATGATATCTGAAAAATCATAAATAAAATGTTTTAAAAAATAAAAAATAAAAAAAAAGATTATATACTCGACTGCATTCTTCCACACAGAGAAAAGCAAAATCAATCTAAGACAAGTCTGATGTCTTTGGGTGTTGTGTATAAACCATTTCCTGAGTGTCATTGCATTGTGGCTTCATGCAGTCTGATTTCTGTTCCTGCTGAGCAGCCCAGAGCAGACACACATCCTCTCCCCCACACCAACACATTTCAACATTCTCTTTTAGGTCATAAAGCCTGAATGAAACAAGCGTCTTGTCACACTTGAGTGGCTCATGTTTCTGACACCGGCTGGCTGCCTCAGTCATAGACACAAATCTCTCTGCTGTTTGTTTTTTGTTTTGCTCACAGCAGGAAGTCTTTACAAGGGCGGGACACTTGTTTTGCTTTTTTTTTTTTTCTGTCTCTGTCCAGCCTCTGCGATTGGTTGGTTTTTGGCCAATCACATTGCCTGTGGTCACCCTCTGTTGAATGTTTAACCGCTTGGCAGAGAAGGCAGAGCCCAAAGCTCTCATTGTCTAGTCAAACAAAGTGTTGCTTCTCTTTCTTTATTTATTGCACTTCATACTTTGAATAAGCACATCTGCTTGAAGATCCCAGCAGCAGCAGCAGCAGCAGATTCTCCTCCTCCAGCAGGTGAGGAACTTGTTTTTTTTCCCACAGTGAGCCGAATACCTGAGAGGCTTTAGACGCCTCTAAACAATGAAGCGACCTTCCTCCTTTTGTACGCTGAGAAAAAATACAGGTGGAATATTATAGTGGAGTTTTTCAGGCACAGATCTGCAGTACGGTTAGTCTACTTGGCTTTTTTTTCAGAGAATTTAAGTTATTTATGTTGCTTTTTGTTTATAAAGAGCTAAAATCCTTAACTTCCCTTAGTGAAACAACAATGGAGAAGTGTGAAGTAAAATCTGTTAACTTATGTTTTCTTAATTTTTTATCCACTTAAGAGTTGACAAGCATTCTCACAGGACTAGGACTCATTGTGAAGATAATCAGTAATGTAAAATATCTCAAAAATTCTGTTTTTTTCCACCGCTGTATTTAGATATGCTGAAGAATTACTAAAGCTTTGTGTCAGACATTTTGGATCTGTGTATAATATCAAGAGCTTATTCATGTTAAAGTTGTCGTGTGAGACATGTACATGGATATCAGCGTCCGTTACATTCATGCGCTCGCCAAACAAGTTCACACAATCCCAGCTAAGCCTATTTAGTGCCGCGTCCATCTAAATGTGTTTTAGCCAGTATTTATTCTAGTGTCTGTGGCGACACTCCCAGATTGAAAAAGAAGTCAGAGAAAGTATTACGGTCTAAACACAAAGAAGGTGATCAACGATGAGGAACATGTCATAGAGACGCATCGACTATGTTGGTGTAAATACTGTCACTGTAAGAAGGGGGAGACAAAAGTTACACACATAAATTTACTATTTAAAATTAAAAAGGAGTAAAAGTTGCAGATACTCAAGTAGCTCAAAACTTTATTATTCAGTGCAGTTATTTATGTACAGTAGTGCAGACATCTTTATTTTAACGCCCCACCTCTGCTCTCCACACTCTGTATTTTCAAAACTTTTAAAATTTTTATCATCTTTTACTACAAATACAATTCCCGCAAGTATAATTTGAAAACAGAGCTTTCCGAGTGCGCACTTGTGACTTTAACTTATGCAGAAGAATTTCAGTATTTTCCCGCCTTTGCCTGTAATCATGTGCAGCTGTAGGACACGGTCAGCGCTGATCAAAGAGACCAAAGGCAGTGAAACCTGAAGCTCTCAGCAAGCTGCTGCACATACATGCAGCGTTTCACATACTACATACCTTTGTGTAAATTTTCCTGCTGTCATACACAGATGTTTCACAGCTGATGGAAGGTAAAGGATCAGATAATTACACATGGATAAAGCTTTAAAAAACCTATTTATATCCAAAATAATATTGTGGTTCTGAGGCACTGACCATTAATGGGCCAAAAACAAAACAAAAACCTCAACGTTGCGTCCTGAGGAAGACACCAGAGGAAATGCCATGCTGCTACCCAAATGGCTTATGTTTTGTCCTGCAGCTATTTCGGGTAGCCCCTATTTTCAGCTAGTCAGGCTAAGCTCTAAATCTTAAGTTGACATTTTCTCTAAAATCTGAAAGCAAATACATGCACGCAAGAATTATGACATCGCAACTGGTTTAACAGCCAGTGCTGCTTTGAATGGGAATTTACATAGTTGTCATGTGGAAGCTTAAAGCTTGTGTAACAAAAACACTGAAAATGATCCTTCAGTGATGCAGGAGTAACCTTGTATGTAATGGTTAAAGTTTTAAAATGAAAAATAATTGCAAATTCACAGACCTTTGAGTGAGGGAGGAGGTGTAAATGTCGTTTTAAGAATTTCTGTCAAGCCAATCTAACTTTTTCATGGAAAAACTGTGTCAGACATTAAGTACTTTTGTGTATCTGCAATAACTGATATAATATTCACCTGGAACAGTGGAAACAAACGTTTATTTTGAGTCATGCTTCACAGTCTTCTTTTAGCTGTTTTTGGTTTATACCAGCTCCTAAATAAATACGTGTTCACCAGCTGGTCACTATCAATGTCTATCTTTGGTTCGGTGGTTTTTGAGTTGCTTGCTGCAGACAAAGACTATGCTGTGAGAAAAGTGAGAATGAACCAACGCAGAACAGCTGCAGCAAAACAACGAGATGAAACTTTACTCTGAAAGCTCCATAAAGCCAAAGGGGAACTGCAGGTTTAGGTGTATTTTTTGGAGGTTCACCATCATGATTGATCCTGATTAACACTGTTTTAATTTACCATTAGCTGCTTTAACTCTCACATTTGGTTCAGCTTCCATCATACTACTGTGGCTGAGAGCAGTTTGTCATAAACTGAGGTGTTGGACAATTAGAAATTTGAACCTGATGGCAGATTATATATAATTTTTTATAGTTTATTTTTAACTCACAGAGCCTTCTAGTGGCTTGTGAAATTCTGAATTTTGTCAGTCAGGAGCAAAGAAGAAAGTAATATGATATTATTGAGCCAAAAGTCCACAGAGGGAGGAGGTTGGGGTGGATGGATGGGTCTGCTGAAGACTTTCACGCAGCTGTTTGTGTCTTGTTTCCCATCAGCGTCTGGGTGTGGTTTCTTGTGTCGCTGAAGATGAACATCCTCGAATCAAATAGTTATTTTAACCAAAATCCTGACCCTTTCAAACAAAACCAACTTGTTTCTGGCCTAAACTTAACCAAACCTTAAATAAACTGGTGACAGATCAGAAAATTTTAGTTTAATAGTAATTATTGTACCAGATCCTGAGAATCCTCAGAAATGTCAATATGGGTCTGTTTTGGAAGGAACCAGCAAACATTTCATTTTGTTTTTTAGCTAATTAGTTACATAAAAAGCTAAAATAATTTGAATCCACCTTTGGGGACCAGGGATATATGCAACAGATGTGGACTAGATGTTTGACAATCATGACTAGAGACCAGAATTTCAGCAGTTTCTCTGCCTGCAGCTGTTCATTGTTTGGAATTACTGTAAGAAACACATGAGACTGGCCTTCAAGATAACTTCTTTAGATTTGTGGGTAAGAGGCTTGAAAAAGAAAGAGGTCGATGGTGGCTCTAAAGTCAAAAACACAACAAGTGACGAAACACCTTTTGCCACCATTCTTCTCTCTCCTGTAAAGTTTTAAGTTTTGTTTTTTACAGACAGAAACTCAGTTGTGTAACTGTCATTTGAACTTCAGTAACACACATTCCATCCCAGCCCTTCATGTTGACACTCATATTATGAGCTCTTGTTTACATCCCAAAAGAATGCTGTTCACAAGTTGTGACAATCTAGCAGCATGTGTTGTGACTGCTGCTATTAACTCCAGCTCCTGACGCATTGGAAAGTCTAAACTTAGTGGGACTGAAACATGACTGTGTAGGAGAAAAGCAGGTAACGGTCTCCTTAACCACTGAAGTGAACGTAAATCCAAAAAGTCCTGGTGCCGCCACATTCACAAAGACACGACAGACTGTGTTCATTCAGAGGATATTTTTACATTTTCACAGCCTGGAGTGAAATTCGGACGTGTCGTCGCTTGTATGAGACTCATTATCAGAGACACACTTCTGCTTTAGTCTGACAGTTTCATGAGAGGCTGACATCAGATCCCAGCATTTACAACATCATTATATGTTCGTGAGTGCTTGCTGGCATTTTATTGCTGCTGTCTACTAATGCACTACAAACCCTGTTCAGGACTTTCACGTTGCCATATGCAGAAGGTCATTATAGACTTTTATACTATGTTAAATAAATTATCTGATAAGTTGAAGTATTTTTGCTTCCTAATGCATGACAAATGTTCCTCTTTTTAGATTTAAAAAAATAAAATAAAAAATAGATTTAAATAAAAAAACAATACCTGTCACCTACACCAAATGGCCTGGAGTCCAAAATACTCCAGAAGTCCTGAACAGGCCTAATATCCTGACTGAACAACAGCACAAATAGCTGGACTAGTTGGACAACTTCCAGCAACACATGCAGGAAGCTTAAAGGGATTTAGTTGTGTTTTGTGCGTCACCTGTCACCTGTTAAACCACAACAGGCAAACAGTGAGTGTCACCAGGGCGGGGAGCACCATCAGACAAACTCCACCCTCACGTTTCTCTGCGTCAACAGACACATAGATGCACAGATAAATGCAGATCACTAGAAAATGTCTTAAAGTTGTAAAAGTGTTGTCTGGAACTTCATGCCTCTATTTTGACATCAATATCATTTCAGTTTGATGGTGTACTAAACATAACTGTAAAAATATACAGAAAATATATACACCCACGTTAAAAGTAATCAAATGCAGTTCGTTTATTCTTTTTTTATTTGCAAGGGTTATGAGCAACATGTGCTCTAAAAAAAGCAGTCTATATGCAGCATGGCCTCTCTTTGGGCATTATATTAAATGAGTGAAATATATCACTGAGACATAAAGCTGCACTTTACGGTTGTAACTGTCGAAGTTGGGAAGTTTTAAGAATCTATAGCACACCATCTTTTAAAAGCTCATTATGTGATTTAGTTGTAAAGTTGAGATCTCAAATTCTGCAAACTCCACACAGAAAGACCCCAGGCCTAGACTCGAACCAGCGAGCTTCTAGCTGTGAGGCAGCAGCGCTAACCACAGCTCCACCGTGCCGCCCTGTAAAGTAACATATAAATATTAAACAGAAATACTCAAGTAAAGCGGACGTATGTCAGAGCTGTACATAAATACACCACAGCTGATGTACTTTGCTACTTTCCACCAAAGACAAAAAATCCCTTTTTAAGAAAAGAAACTTAAGTCAAAGTCAGTGGCTGATCTATAAAACTACAGAATGATCAAATATATGCAGTGTTTGAGCTGTTACACATTACTTTACTTTTTCTGCACTTTCTTTGTTCTCCCTCCAGCAAAGACATTTTCTTTAGAGCTATGAAGTAAATGACAGGTTACGACAGAGTCTATATGATGCACTGACACCCTGGTGCTTATAGCTAAGTATACAGTACAGTGTTGGTACAGTGTGTCCCGTGTTGATGGCTGCATGTAGACTCAGTGGAGACGGGGATTTGGGACAGGGCTTTGTAAAGACAATGACTGTTGGAACAAGTCTTCTGTTTTGTTATGGCACTGATCTCCACAGGAGTCACTGTGGAAAGAATTTAGAAAATTTTAGAATTTAGAGAGCAATTAGTTCCTTTGATGCATTATTGACTCAATGGTAGCACAAATGTAATGCTTTTAATGCAGACTCTGTTTTAAAAGGCTGATTAAAGAGCCGCTACTGTTAATTCAGTTAAGCTATTTAACTCAATGACTGTAATTTTTGCCACTTTGCAAGATATAAAAAATTGTTTATATTTAACTCAGAAAGCCATCTAGCAGGTGCTCAAATTCTAAATTTTGTTAGTGAGGAGCAAAGAAGGAAGTAATACCATGTTATGGAGCCAAAAGTCCTCAGATGGAGCATGGGGTGGATGGATGGGTCTGCAAAGCCACAGACTTTCACACAACGCTTTGTGACTAATGTGGACTTCATAATTTTTTTTCCAGATTGTAATTAATAAAACTCTGACCAAAACATTAGGCTAAGTTTAAATTAAGGCAAATAAACAAACAAACAAAAATACCATCAAAACCGCCAAATACAGACAGTTACTAAATTAACAACGTGGTACAAAAGTTTATGTTTGCATGCTATGTATCTGGAATCCAGAATAACTTTTTTTTTTTTTTTTTTTTTTTACATCTCTTGCACTTTGGTGCACCAGTATATAATTTAAGTGCACACATTTTTTTCATGGTACCTTTTGTCGCTGAGTAATACATTTTAAGTGTAACCTTTTTCCCAAATCCCATAGACATTGATATTTCTTTAATTTGTTATGGTTGTAAAGGTGCAGTGAGGACAGATAAGTGTTTTGTACTTTTTCACAAGGATGATCTGAGATCTTAATGAGGTGGAAGGTTGCTCTTCTTTGCTTACAATAAATTTAATGTTAAATTTTATTATCCTTAGTGCTTTGGCTTGTCATTACCTGGCACTGAAAAGCTGTGTAGATGTTCTGCCAACCTCGCTCCTCTCACAGCTCAGGATGAGTTTCTTGGAGACTCTGTGTTGTTACAGTTGCTCATCGATTGGCAGCTATTGAGTAATTCTGCCTGTGTTTGTTTTTGCTGCGTGTTTTTTTTTGTCTGTTAACAGTCTAGTGTTTTGCAGGAGAGGAGTTTGAACCTGACACTTCATACATGACCTCGGTGTGGTCCCTTCTCTGAGTGATTAGATTTTGGGGTCAATACATGCATTGGTGACGCTACAGAGGTCAAAGATCGCATTTCCCAAAAACAGCTCTGTGTGACTGAAAATGCATAAAAAGACAAAAGTTTAGTCGACTAACTTAGGAAGACATTCAAGGCCTATAAACTGGTGATGTAACATATGACCTTGAGACAAAGGTCAAGGTCACACTGAAGGACGTAAATCATCACAGATTTTAAATCCAATATAACTTGGAAAAGGTGTAAGATAAACACATAGTTTCTTGTTACAGTCAGATAGGATACCCATTTGGTGATGTGATATTTGACCTTGAATGAAAGGTCAAGGTCAAATGCAAGGTCATACAGCCAAATGCTTCCCCTCCACGCAAAATATCTGTGTCACATGACAGACTAAGCTCTTGTTATATTATGTATTGTTTTAAGGCAACATCAAGGCAAGTTCATCGTCAAGTAGGCGCACAGTAAAACGCAGAATCAGGTCAACATGCATACATTGGACAGCTATGTCCCTCTATTGAGGACTCTCTAGTTTTGGATTGTTTCAGGAACTTTCCCAGCTGTGCTTTGTCTGTGTTTCATCTATAACAGTGTTGGCTGTTTTTTAATGAATCAATGTGCTGATGCAGCTTTGAGGGGGAGGTTGTTTTAAAAAGCTGCAACTTCCATGTGGGCCCTAAACACAGACATCACAATTTGTAGACTCTCCCTAAACGCCTCACATTTGAAATTAAATTCATCTCCGTGTGTGGGTCACAGGGAGGCACACTGACAGACCTGCTGAATGTCAGGTGCATTGATGCAACCAGTGAAAATGTTTAGTTGCATTTTTAGTGGCATATTTAATACGTAGGAGCTCTGTGTAGAAACCAGAAGTAGATACCTTTAGAATGAGATCTTTTTATCTTCTTATTCATTTTAAACATAATCTTCCATCAGTTTTTTTTTGTGTGTGTGTTTCACATTTTCATTATTCTTTTTTTTTACTTAACATCTTTTTAAGTTCATATTTATTTTCATCTCCGTGTTCTTCTATCTGCAGCTATTTCTGGACTTTTCCTCTAATGATAATTTAGCAGCAGTAAAAGTAACTGAAAGAAAGAAGTGCAGATCATTTGGTCGAACTGTCTTAGATATCATGTACCTTTTATGATGCCTACTGTTGAGGTGTGTCCGTTTTTTGAGACAGAAGGCAAACAACTTCTCTCATTTATAGTTATTTATTCTACAACGTGACATTTTAATAACTTCCCCAGTAATGGATGGAGCTTCATGTAAACATGAACATTTTATTCAGTGTGGTGCAAGGTGACTGGCTACTAAACACAGACATTTATTCAAATTGTAAAACATGAATGGCTATATTGTTGAAGAGGAACCGTGGTTTAAACTTAGCCGTTGGCACACAGATATGTCCATACCTCTTGGCACGTGATTGGCACACGATTCATCCAATCCGCAGCAACCACGCCCTGTAAAAAAAACAAAAACAAAACCCTCTCTTCTAACATCTCCGGCTCCTGGATGTCAGTACTTTTCCTTTGTTTAGCTGCTATGTGCTGCAGCTGGTGCCATTACCTCATAGGTGGGTGGTATTCTTATCAGCGCAAGGTAATGCAAGGTGCCATTATGTGTGCATAGTGTGTGTGTGTGTGTGTGTGTGTGTGTGTGTGAGAGAGAAAGACAGAGAGAAACTGCATTCCTGACCTGGCTTAACCTCCCTGAGATGAGGCGTGGGGACTGATGCTTGAATCCTTCTTTCCCTTTCTTCAGATCAGCACAACTCATGCATTAATACACATTAAACGGTGTGGGTGTCAATGCTAAGCTATCACTGCTTTCACAAAATAATATTTTCCAACACTACTTTCAGCTGCCAGGCCACTGCCATCTATATAATGTCCATTAAATACTGTTACTGCTTCAGGGAAATAAAGGTGAAACACACATGTGCTGTATAAGACAATAAAAACATAGACTGGCTGCCAGCAGCATTTAATTTTTATTGTCGGCACGTAAACCACAACATGTATTTTCTTTTGCTCAAGTATGTCATTTAAAGCCTTTTACTTGGGCTTCCAGCCAGAGACGCCGATGCATACAGTAAAATCACGCATGTCTAGAAAAGACAGACTTCTCAACATTTTCCTTTTTCTTTCTATCTAGTTTTCATTCTGTGCAGCCACCATGAAAGTTGGTTCTTTTAACATCCAGAAGTTTGGACGAAACAAAGTGTCAGACCCAGATGTTCTCAACATCTTAATTAAGGTAAACATGAACACACACACACACACACACACACACACACACACACACACACACAGCAAAGCTGTAAAAGACTTCCAGCACCTGCTCTGTTTAAAATGTGTTCTTTTCCCTTGAAGAGTACAAGCACTGCTTTGGCTTTTTGCAACTCACAAGAGGCAGATTTAGGCTCTTTTTCTCTATCTCAATATACTTCTTTTTTAATTAAAAAAAAGAAAACAAAAAACCCAAATTGCTATATTTATATATTTGCTAAATGTCAGAATAGTGAAAGAGTTTTTTTTTTCTTACAGAACTTTTTACTTTCTTCAAAGTCAGAAGTTTACATGCACTAAGATTTATCAAAACAGAAAAAGTTTAGTCACATTTTATGTCAGTGATAAAAAAAAAAAAAGTCTTTTTATACAGTGTATGTAAACTTCCAGTTTCAATTGTATATCGTTGTTTTTTTCACAATAAAGTTAATTTTTCATGTCTAAAACTTCATTATTTAACCTAAACTTGCTCTCTTTTTCTCTCAGATTGTGTCTCGATATGACATCCTTGTCATCCTGGAGGTTGTGGATGCCAGCGGAGAGTCTGTAACAACCTTGATGGATGCACTCAACAAGTGGGTGCACTGTTTTTCTCCTCTAACCAATCATATACGAGGGTACTTGACAAAAGTCTCAGCCTCACCTGCAAACAAGGGCCATAGCTTCCTCTGTCACAGTTCAGGTTCAGAAACTCAAATGCAGACACGAACTCGACAGGTCAAGCATTCAGAGATTTATTTAAGCAAAAATCAAGGTCAAAAGTAATCAAACAAGACTTCAAAGACACCACAATGTGGGGCAGACTTACTGCAGGCTCAAGATAAGGCTAACGTAAACAAAGGCTAGTGGAGAATCAGAATCGCAAACCTGTACTTGGTACAACCAAGCCACGGATGCCAAGAACATTAAACAGAGCTAAGCAACAAAACTACGGAATTAACATTAACAGAGTACTACAGAATCCAGCAGGGAAAGCAGGCCTACGAACAGCCGGCATGGAGGGAAAGGGAAGGTGGGTGACATGGCTGGTGGTGAAGCAGTGACGGAATGGACAGGTGTGGCAGCCAGGTGGAGATGATCCAGGAGGTTGTCCTCAGAGGACGGCAGAACTGCAGAACTGTGTGTAGTTTGGTGGGAAGCCAGCTTGTATGGGGAGAGGAGAAGAGCAGATCAGTGACGACCACGCCCTGCCACAGGTGAGGGTACTCAGGTAAACAGCAGATGCACTGCACCTGTCCACACCTGGCACACCAGCCAAGAGCACGCCCATCTAGGAGAAAGGGAAAGGAGGGAGGAGGGAGGAGGGAGAAAAAGTGAGAGAAGGTTGCCACTAGGTAGAATCAGAGGCGGAGGCCATGACATCCTGTTTGTGTTTGAACTTTGAATTTCTCTCAGCATACAGTATGGGATAATGCTTCTACACAGCACTGGTACAGTCAGTCAAACAAATACACACAATATTTTAGAGATGTTTGAGTCAACTTCAAATCAATTACATGGTGACAGATTAAAATTATCTTCCGTGTCTTCTTGTCTGCTCAGTTCCAACAGGAAACATCACTACAGTCTGAAGATCAGCACTCGTTTGGGTCGAACTCGCTACAAGGAGCAGTTCATGTTCCTGTACAGGTGAGAGCTCCTGAGACAATAGAGCCGCTTATCAGGGCAGAAGGGAATTTGCAGGTGCCTGTTCTTCATGCATGGACAAATGAATTAATCTCATTAGACTGGGAGCAGGAGCGCATCTCTCTACTGTTTGATTTTGGTTCAAATGAAATGATGTCACAGATAACAAGGGAAAGATAAAAATCGGCTGTTGGCCTGCTGGATGCTGGCATCAGTTCGGGCTCTGGATGGATGTGTCTAATACCAACTTTCCTGAACATTCATCAACAACCTCATCAACTAGACTATGTTAATTTCTGTGTGGATTACACCGTGCCCACCAGGACTGTACGCTGTTTTGCTAACAGTAAACCCTGGATTGCTCCTGATATAAAGGCTCTCCTAAAGGACAAATGGAGGGCTTTTAGGTCAGGAGACAAGGCGGAGATGAGGACTGTTCAGAGAGAACTGAGGAGGAAGGTCAGAGAGGGGAAATGCAGCTACAGGTAGAGGATGGAGGATCAGCTGCTGCAGAATACTGTCAGCGGGATCTGAAGAGGCCTGAAAACCATCTCTGGCCACAAAGACCCCAAGACTGAAGTGAACAGGGACCAGGAGTGGGTGAATGAGCTGAACGCTTTTTTTAACAGGTTTGAACAGCCACCCCTCCCCCGGCCCAGTCCACCCTGCAGCAGCCACCACTGCATTTGTCTGCACCCCCTGCTGACTGCACCACCCCTGCTGCATCCCCCACCACAGCTCTCCTACCAACATACCTCCCCTCCCCCGCAGGGCCCCACACTCACAACCAGCACCCCCCTGCCCCAACTCTCCCTATCAACATCCTACACAGATCAGCTGAGCAGGGTTGTGGAGCAGGTCTTCAACATGAGCCTGAAGTTGGGGAGAGTACCACAGCTGTGGAAGACATCCTGCGTGGTACCAGTGCCGAAGATCTCGCACCCCGAGGACTTCGACCACTACAGGCTGGTGGAAGTGCCATCCCACCTGATGAAGAACCTGGAGAGGCTGGTCCTTTGTCATCTGTGGTCCTGGTGAGCTCATCAATGGACCCGCTGCAGTTTGCCTACCAGCCTGGATTCAGGGTGGATGACACAGGGATCTACCTCCTGCACAGATGCCTCTCTCACCTGGAGAAGATGAAGACCTCTGTCAGAATCATGTTTTATGATTTCTCCAGTGCCTTCAACACCATCAAGCCTGCATTTCTGAGGGACAAGCTGGAGCAGACAGGAGTGGACTCTCACCTCACAATGTGGCTGCTCGATAACCTCACCAACAGTTTGTGAGGTCAGGGGACTGTGTGTCCGACACTGTGGGCTGCAGTAAGGAGGCCCCACAGCGGACTGTCCTTACCCTCTTTCTTTTCAGACTTCTCTCATCACACCACGAACTGCCATCTTCAGAAGTTGTCTGACGACTCTGCCATTGTCGGCCTCATCACTGACAGAGTACAGGGAACTCAACCAGGACTTTGTGGACTGGTGCCTGCTGAACTGCCTCCAGATCAGCGCGGTGAAAACCAAGGAACTGGTGGTGGATTTTAGCAGGAACAGACACACTTCTCCTTCACCAGTGAACATCCAGGGAACGGACATTGAGATGTGGACTCTTACAAGTACCTGGGTGTTCACTTGAACAATAAACTGGACTGGACCAATGCACTCTGTAAGAAAGATCAGAACAGACTCCACCTGCTCAGAAAACAGAGGTCCTTTAGGGTGCAGGGAGCACTTCTCAGGTCCTTCTGCGGTGGCATCAGCCATCCTATATGGAGCTGTCAGCTGGAGCAGCAGCATCACAGCTGCAGACAGGAAGAGAG